CAATTTGTTCGCGCCGCAATCGCCAAGTACTATGGCGTATGCTTCCCGCGCTTTTTAAGGAACGTTAAGGTAGGCCAAGGGCGTGCGACGATTCTTTCCTTTTGTATTTTTTCTGTCTCTGACAAATTTAGCCAGGGACCGCTTTCAAATACTACGATCGAACGTACGAAAGGAATCGTACGAAAACGTCGTACGATTTGCAAAATTATTTATTTGAGAAAAATCCCCCTTGTGTAATTCCGTTTCTAAGGAAATGAACGAATCGATATTTTTATTGAAATGCCGAGTAGAGTCCCCGGGAATCATCTCTTATTGTTAAACCATTTCAATTTCCCCGCATTTATGACGTGCCGCGTGTCAACCCACCCACGTACACGTATCCGCCAACAGGGACGTCTCTCGAATCTTCTAGACCCTTCTTCTTCTTCTTCTTCTCATATACGAACAAAATTAGATACCAATTATGAAAATAATCTGTCGACGTTTTTAGGTCTATCGGAAATTGTGTTTGTCCATTCTGACAAACACAAATTGTCATCACACTATGATAAGAAATTATAAATAATGATAATTGATAAATATTAGTCAATTAAAAGGATATATGAAAATTGATTACTTTTGTTTTATTCGAAAAATTGACAAAACTTTCCGGTAGACACCTAATAATTTTGTATTATCTTGATTAAACTTGATTCCGTTTTTCTAATCACTTGCTTAAATAATTTTTACAAGAGATCTAGATTGGAAGCGATTATCTTCTGTCTTATTTTTTTTTTTATAACGATAAGCAAATACGATACGATGCAGCGTTGGAGATCTCTCGCAAGTTTGAGCAATTTCGAGCAATGCTTTCAAATTCTTTTGTAATATTCGCACTCGTTGGTCATCGTTAGTTAGAATGTATTAATCATTTAATAGTTGACAAGGATCATCCGACATTGACGACAGCGTAGCGTATACGTTGCCAATCTGCTTGCAAATTTCCTTCGATTGTAATGTATGTACATACGAAGGTTGTATCTTTTTTCAATCATATTCCAAGGTAAATTGATAGACATTTGTCAGTAGATTTTCGGATAACGATCTCTGCGTTTCCTTGTCGCGTCGTTATATTTGTACTATTTCCTATTGGAAATGAACGAGCAAAGAAAGCGTTATTCAATGATCAGCAATATAAGAGATAACAATGTGGGATCTGAACAAGTAGAAAGTGTCTGAATAATCAAATGGAAAAGATTATTATCACTTTGTTTTTTCGTCGAAGGAGTTTGGAAAAAGTCACAAAGCCGTCAAAAGACTTATAAAACTTGTATATAATATTTCCAATCAATCAATTTTTCCTTTGCCGAATAGAAACAAAATAGTAGGAAAATAGTTTTGGTACGGGGAGAAATAAAGTAAGGCGCTAGGAGTGAGTTGGGAGTGAGTTAGGAAGACGTGCGCATGCGCACTCGGGAATGACATGAAAGGCGCATGCGCATTGGAGACAGTGGATTTTGGGAAAGGGAAGCCGCGCCGAAGGTGGTTTGAACTAGCCGTCTAGCGCAGTCGTTGGGTGCACGATGGCGCGATCGCTCGATATTGCCTTTTTATTTTCTTTTTGCCGCCGTCGTTTCTGAGCGGTGAGTCGGCCCAAAGCGTTGGACCGTCTCCGTGGTACGCGATATTTTTTCACCTTTTCCACGGCCCTAACACCTCTCCATTTTTTTCATTCATTTTCCGGGCACCTCAAGAAGAAGAAGAAGAAGAAGCAGAAGCAGAAGAAGTAGAAAGTGAAAACGAGTTTTCGCCATTTTTCTTCGTTATTCTCTCTCTCTCTCCCTCCTTTCCTCCCTATTGAGTGTTTCTCTTTTACCGATCGATCTACTACTATTACTACCAGCACTACCACACCATCATCAACATCATCACTACTACCAGACGGTTTAATACATCGCCAACGTTTTTTGGGAGGAAATTAATCCGAGGACTCTCCGCATTCTCCGTTCAGGAACGTACGGCGACTAAACGAAAAGAATTTCTAAAGGTAAATCTTCTAATCGATAGTATCGTCTTTTTTATCCTCCATTATTGTTTTGATATCATGAAAGAGGCGGAAGGATTATCGTGTCCGTGTCCGTGTTCGTGTTCGTGTCCGTGTCCGTGTGAGAGTTCGGTGCAAAGTGCAGTGATTACCGGATCGATGTCCAACCTTCGTATTCTTCCATCTATTTACGTTTACGAGCTCTTTCCTACCACGTCGATTAGATTTCATTCGTTCTTGTTTGGATCATGCGCGAGATGCGTTTCTCAAAAATATCTCTCTCGATTAATCGCGGAGTGAAAAGGCGCGCGCGCACACGCGGTCGACAGAGGAGGCGACAGAGGAGGCGACAGAGGACGCTCTTTGTTGTCATTCGTCGAACTTTAATGGCCGCTGCCAATGGCCGCTGCCAATGGTTGCGCCAATGGTTGCGTCAATGGTCTTTAGGCTAACCAAAATTTCACCGACAAGCTTTCTTTCCTTCTTTCCTTCATATGCAGTTCGATTGCGTATTTAAGGGAAAACATTAAATAATCATTACTTTAATGACCAATTATTGACTAATAAATGTTTCCAAGAAATTCTTGCATTCGTGGTCTCGTTTACGCCGAAGGCAGGAAAAGAGAGTAATAAACAAAAAGGAAGGAAGGAAGGAAGGAAGGAAGGAAGGAAAGAGGAAACGATCCGGTTTTTTCCTTTCTCGGTCAATCAACGCTGGGATTCACTAACGTTGCATTGCTTACCCGTTTACAGTTTCTTCGTGACGTAATGAATGGCAATGCTTACATAGTAAAATTCTTCTCGTTTCTATAGACTACTCATATTTATACACCAATTAACGTAATCTCGTCAGAGTCATCATTTTGTAGAGTGACTCGTTAACAAATTTGAAATTCAACTTTTTTCTCTTCATCTTCTTTCGCAAATAGCAAAATATCTAATGAAAAAAAAAAAAAGAAAAAAATCAAATATCTTGAGATCTGTTGAGAGCCTTGTCGACCTAAATTCGCGAGTCACATGCAAAGACAAATAATAGGATGACCGTTAAGAGGTATTATTCGCGATCGAAATGAAACTAATTGGCAATCGTTGACGTAAACTCGGTCACGTCTTCGGACATAGTTGGATCCTCTGCAGTCGGTCGATCCTCTTTCCTCGGTCATTCAAAAAGGTAAACGCATGCGCCATTAGCATTACAATTCGAGAACGCGAGAGTCACTTGGAACGTGATTCATCGGGAGAATATTCGTGCTCGTTATGTCTTAAAAGACGTTAGATTAAGAGATGACTCGAAATGAAAGCGTAGAGAATATCCTTCGTTGAAAATATTCCTAGTACTTTTATCGAGTTTCCATTTTCAAGGAAACCGCGGGATTCGTTTCTTCGAAAGGTCGACGATCTCTCGTTGCTCTCTCTCTCTCTCTCTCTCTCTCTCT